TCCGTGGCCGGCGGAGGGCTAGGCAGTGCCACACCTGGGCAGCAGGCCACAGGGAGGAGGCCAACAGACGGGCATAGAGAGCCTTTTGTTAAAGCACAAACAGAGCCGCGGGGCTGGTGGGAGGCTGGCACCCCTCCTCTAGCCCAGATGGGAAGGCTGCCCCTCCAGCACTCTCCCAGGGAAGGGGGCGCAGAGGTCGCTGGCCCTGTTGGAGCTGGCTGTGAATCTGCTCTAGGTCTTGAGCTTCCTCCAGTCCCAGAGCCAGGAAGGGGAGGGGAGAAGGGGTCTCAGCAACATCTGGAACACCGAGAGCAAGACGCTGCCCTCCAGCACCCTCCAGCCGGGTGAGTCAGAGGCTGCGGTCTGGGGGTGCTGCGGGCTGGGGACTCACCCTGCATAAAAGGGCACACCCTCACTTCCTGGGGAAGGCCGAGGGGAGACAGCGCAGGCAGGACGGGAGAGGGGAGCTAGTATCAGTGCCAAGTAGCTGGCTCTCAGGTTCGGGCTGGGTTTTCCCAATAGGTTTGGCCTCGTGGACATTTGCCAAGGTGTGGCCTGCCTTTCAGGGTGAAGGGTGACAGGTAAGGGATGCCCCCTCCCACCCAGGCTTCCCCTGCCAGAGACCCGAGCTCAGGACACGGGAGCAGCAGGCCAGCTCCAGCTCCGGGCTGAGCGTGTCCTGAGCCTCGGCTCCCCCTCCTCAGCCAGACCAGGAGGGTGGCCCCTCGCTCGCCAGTGTGACATTGGGAAAGTCACTACCCCGCAGAGCTCTGGTTCCCCTACCCAGAAGCCAGACAAGTCTACTCCTAGAAGGCTGAGGTGGGGATTGAACAAGGTAGCCGCCAAAAACCTTCTGGACAGGATAGCGCCTGCAGTGTAGTGATCCTGTCATGTTTGCTGCTATTATTATTTTGCTTGAGATAGGGTCTTGTTATCTTATGCTAGCTGACCTCAAACTCATAAGGTCAAGTGATCCTCCTGCCTCAGCCTCCACAATAAAGTAGGACTATAGGCATGCACCACTGCACCTGGCACTTTGCTGCTGTTATTCTTTTTTTTGAAAAAAGGGTCTCGCTATATAGCCGAAGCTGGCCTTGCCCTCATGGTGATCCTCTTGCCTTGGCCTCCTGAGTGCTGCTGTTATTCTCCTGGAAGTTTTCATTGGTCCCTTTGCAGTGTGAAGTCCGAGGCCCTCGAAGTGACCTACCTAAGGCCACCCAGCTGGACGGGATGGGAAGATCCACCCCTGATCTGACCATTGTGCCAACCTACCTCTAAGGCAGCAAGCAGGTCTCCCAGGCCACTCCTGCTGCTGAGGGGTCAGGGAGCAGGGACTTTGCAGGCCACACTAGGATGCCTCCGGTATTTCAAGGGTTAAGGAAACCCTGGAAGGGGACCCAGCTCCTCACCTGGGCCCTGGGGGGCCGAAGAGCCTTGAAGACACCAGGCCACCTTCCTCCTCTGCTCCAGTGTGGCCATGGATACCCTGGAGAGGCCACGCCACGGCTTCCGCTAAGGTCCCAGGGGGCTGGGCACTGGTCAGCCCCGAGTGGGCGAGTGGGCCAGCTGCCCGCTGTCACTCTCAGGCTGGGACCCAGAACCCAAGGAGCCAGCTAGGAGATGCAAGGACTCCCACCCCACCCCACGCCTGCAACACACACGTCACACCAGCTGTCCAAGGGCATGGGCTAGGCAGCTGCGCCTCCAAGGTATCCAGGTGGCATGTGAAAGCTGTGGAATTTTACAGCCACTTTTAGTCCAAGAGAATGTCGCTCCAGGCGTGAGGCTGTATTGCAGCAGGCAATTTAACTTTGAGGTTTCGAGCTCTCAAGAGACATTTAGATGCTAGAACTTGCTTCGAGACACAGAATGCAGCAGAAAGGCGTCAGGAGAGGCAGCAGGGAATGCTTGTGGCTGGGAGTAAAAGTCATTCTAGGTAGCTCAGCCCCACACATCTTTGACAAGGGAAGCTTAAGAGCTTCACAACACACACACACACACACACACACCCCCAAGCCGGGCATGGTAGCACACACCTGTAATCCCACCACTTGGGAGGCTGAGGCAGGAGGACTGCCATGAATTCAAGGCCACCCTGGGTTACAAGGTGAGACCCTGTCTCAAAAAACAAAAGTAACTAAGTCCGTCCACTCCTGGTCCTGGGGGAGTGTGGCCCAGCTCCCCTGAAGGCCTGGGTGTGGACAGCAGGCAGTCTTATTCAGCACGGGCAGGGCCTCAAGCGAGGGTGAAACCAACCAGTGTCCCCAGTATGTTCCGTGGGCCACCAGCAAAGCTGGCAGGGTGGTTTCTGCAAAGGGCAGGTCCCTGGGCCCAGCTAATGAGGCCTGAGCCGGGTATACAACGGTGGGCCGGGGACACAGCATTTTTCCGTGATCTCTAGGTGACCCTGAGGCACCCTCAAATGCCTGAGAGCAGAGAAAAAGCAGCAGCAGAGTGAAGGAGAGAGCTGGGGCCGCCAAGCCACACAGACCTGGCTCAGTCCCGGCTGCCATTTACAAGTTGCAGGACTTGGGTAGGAGATCTCATCCCTTGGAGCCTTGGTCCTGCATCTCTAGAGGGACCTCACCACCAAGCTGGGGTGATGAGGTAAAGTACACGGCGACCTGCAGTGACCCGGCACTCAGATGACCGCACTGCGGACACTCATGGCAGGGGCTGAAGTTAAGATGCAAAGCGTCATCTCCGGAGGGGCCACCCAGAAAGCTGCCAGGCAGGGTCTCCCATGAGGGGCAGACACTGCTGGGGACAGAGGAAGGGACATGGCAGAGGCGGAGGGGTGGCAGAGGAGCCTGAGGAATCTGCCAGCTGAGGCAGACATGAGGAGCCCCACAAAGATTCATTGCCGGCTGGGTCTCAGAATGAGGCTGCTGCGCCTTACAGGTCTCCTTGCGGAGCCCACCCTGAGGTCACCTTTGCCACAGTGAGCAACTTTCCACCAAAGTCCCAAGGGCCCTCCTGCTCCCCCTCACCCGCCTGCCCTCCTGGCTGGTGCCTGAAAGACACATTCTAAAAGGACCAAGGAAGAGCTTCCTATGGCTTTGCAAAGGGAAACTGAGTCAGGGCCAGGCTGTCCCTGAGGGGATGGGAAGGGCAAGACTCAGGTATATACAACCCAGACTCCACTCAACAGCTGTGTGTCCCCTACCCCAGGTGGCCATGCCTCAGGCAGTCGGCAGAGGCCCAAGCCTGCAGGTCCAACCCAAGGCCAGCTGGGCTGTCCCCTGCCAGGCATCCCCAGCATGGAGGAGGAACTCCTGCCTCACAGAAACCAGACCCACTGTGTCCTCTCAGCGTGGCCCAGAGGCTTCAGCTCAGGAGTCCCTCTCCAGGGACAGAGTTCCTCAAAACCAAAAGGAAACTCCCGCAGGGCAGGGCCAGCTCTGTAGACCTTGTCCTAATAAACAGGAGAGTGGCCCGCTTCACACGACAGGCATTTCCGCCTCCCTCTGCTGCTGAAATGCACAGCGGCCAGCTGGCCAGAAACACCTACATGACCAGGGGAGGGCCAGGGATGGCTGGCACCAGAAAGTGCCTTCTGTCCCCGCATTCAGAATCTGCCCTCAACACATCTGTCTGCCTCTGGCCTTCGGAAGCCCCAGGAGCTGTCATTCCATGAAATAAAAGCAAGCTGCTGATTGGCAGCTTCAACAGGAGCTGATTTTTGTGAAAGTAGATGCGCTATTGCCGGGGATTTAGCTCAGCAGTTTTGCCACCTGCTGCACAAGCGCAAGGACCTGAGTTTGATCCCCGGTACAAAAAAAAAAAAGTAGATGCGCTGTAGTAATAAAGGCGAGCGATTACTCTCCCCATTCCCATCTCTGAAGGCGAGGAGCAGGGGAGAGTCCCCTTTCTCTACCACATCAAAATCTGTGACAGCGTTAGAGACAAGTGCCCAAACTGCAATCCAAAACCCACTTATTAATGCAAAGTGCCAACACTGCAACGCAGCCTGAATACTGAGGCTTTAGTTTAGCAAAAACAACTCATACATTAACATCTTTTGTTTTAAAAGAAAAACATAATAACACACAAGCCATAGGTTTGCCACCCTGGACCTACAGTGAGTTTGTAGCTACCTTGGCAGTCATGAAAAGAGCCCCAAGCTTCCCACTGCCCTTCAAGCCCCGGGTAGGGAGGCTCCTGCCTGACTCTGGGCAAAGCTGAGATGGGCGGTGGATGCAGAGAGGCCTCAGGCAGGAACAGAGGATCTGGCCCAGGGCTGCAGGATCCAAGTTCGAGTCCCTGACCCTGCCGTCCTTCTGAGGGGTTTGGGCCTCGGATGTCAGTCTCCGCACTTGTGGGCAGGGGACAATGGCCACTGCCCAGACTTCTGCAGACGATCACGAGTCCGTGACGTAAACGTGCTCTGCGCATTACCCAGGACTCTGCCCTCGCCAGCCCTAAACGGGACCCAGACTTCTCTTCATCGGGGTATTTAACCCTCAAAACATCCTGTTGCTAGGTGCTAGTATTCCATATTCCCCTTTTTTGGGCTGCTCGGGATACAACCCTTTCCCAAAGCCGCAGCCAAGGAACCCCGGCCCCCAGATGTCTGTGTGGCCGAGTCGGTGTGGGGAAACCAGCCTTGCTCTCTGCCTCTCACACTCACTGTGCTCAGCTCAACATCCCTGAGCCTCTAATGAGTCCTGCAGAAGCACCAGTTTGCCATTTACGGAATTAGTGAACACTGCAGCAAACAAGAATGGAACACACCTTGGGACAAGGGTCATGGCCAGCACTATCAGAAACCCAGACAGGCAAGATCTGGGGGAATGAAGAAAAAACAAGAGTGCAACACATTAGCCTTCAAAGAGCACGGTGACTGGACATGCTGAGTGAGGAGGAGACTAAACCTGTCTTCAAGCCCCGATAGCCCCGGTCCCTGGGCCTCCAATGCCGAGCCCACAGGACTGAGGAGCTGGAGACGCTGCCCTCTGCCCCAGGCTGGGCAGGAGCAGCCCCGGGCTGAGATGCCTTACCCCTGGCTGCTATCTGCGCGTCGGTGGGAGGTGCTGAGGCTGGCACACATCCGTCTGCTCGGGATCCTGGCATCCCTTCTGCTCCATGGACGCTGCTGCCCTAGGAGGAAGCGAGAGCTGCTGTCAGCAGGCGTGTGTGACTCTCAGACCTGTGCCACCAGCACTCTGGAGAGTCCAGTGGTGCCAGAGCCTGGGCTGGGCTGCGGGGCAAAAGGAGCTACTGGGACAGGAGCCTCGCACACAGAACCCAGTCCTCTGGAGACGCCATGTCAGCAATTCCAATCTGGAGGCCTCTGCTGGGGCAGCCGGGGAGAAGCAGGAGACGCAGATGAGCAGGGACCTGGGAGGCTTCCTGGAGGAGGAGTGGGAGGAGCACTCAGGCAGAGGTGCACTGCATGATTGCTTGGAGGGGAAAGAAGACTCCATCCTGAGAATACTGCAAGCTCCCCCAGGCCAGATCTAGCAGCAGACAGGGAATTGGCAGGACTAGAGCTAGAAGGAGGATGAGCCCGGTGAGACAAAGACTTTGACTAAAACACAAAGCACACACTTCGCCAAGCATTCAGTAAACACACAGTGCTCGTCCACCACAACTGTTCCCGAGAGAACGAGACAGGCTGGCAGAGGAGGAACGAAGCGGGTGCTCTACCCTATATTCAGCGGCCAGCAGTGAAATGAGCTAGAGCCCAGCATGGCAATAACCACTGGGGAAGGCGGGGCTGGGCTTCACCACATCCATCCCACGTGGGGCCATATGAGGTCTCAGCCTGTCCACCTGGGCCTCAGTTGTCCCCACGTGAAAACCTGGAATGACTTCCACTAGGGAGAGAGTCAGGAGCCAGGCTGACTCCTCTCCGGCTCCTACAAGAGAGCTCCAGGCCATTGCAAGCAGCAACCTAAGCCCAGCCACCACGTTGACTTCCGACCCACAGGGACATTCCTCAGCAGCCCCACTTTCCAGAAAGACCACTCGGGTTGTTTCTCCGCGGGTGTGCCCAGGAAGCAGAGAACAAAGGCATTTGGTGGAGTTCTGGGGCTGGACAACTCACAAACACTTTTTGGTTCTCTGCTCCAAGGCCCAAGGCATCGGAACCCGCCCCACCCCCAAACAAGCTCTGACACCTGCACACTGGGAGGCAGGGCCAGCTGCTCAACCCCAGCATCTCCAAAGCAGCCAGTCCTCCAGCACGAGCCATCTGTCCTTGCCTCTCCCAGCCACAGGACACTGACCTTCACGGAGACCACGCCAGGCAGACTGAGCCAGGGGCACTGCCCGGGGCCTCAGGACACACTCCCACTCCCTTCTCCTCACAGGAAGTAGCACCCGCAGCCGATCTTCTCTTTCCCCAGTACCAGTCCATCTGCCGCTTTGCTCCAGAGCGCAGAATACAGTTTGGCAAGAGTTCTAAGCACTACTAAATAGGAAAGGGGGAAGAGGTCCTCGGAAATTTCAGCTCCTCCAAGTCTTTGCCCCCGGTGCCCTCCCCTCATCAAGCTCTCCGCCTCACACCTCCTTCTCAAAGGCACCCTAAGGGGCAGAGGAAGAAGAGGGAGTGGAAGTGACTAGCCCAAAACCCACCCCACCCCGCCAGCCCAGTCCCCATTAGGAAGAGGCTGCCACACACAATCTCCAACCACACCTCTTTCCAAAAAAGGCAACACATCAGCGGAGAACCAGCCCAATCTTGGTTTGCTCCATCCCTGACCAAGGAGAAGCGGCGGTCGCCAAAGCAGCAGAATCACCACAAACCCCATGATCCCCATGCTACGGTCCCTCAGCCTGGGGCCAGCGTGCTGGATCTCCAGCTCACCCAAATAGTTGGGCCAGGCAGTGACCTCACTAGATCTGCACCTCCCGCCCCTGTGGATGCAACGGACAGGGGCAGGGCTGGGGTCTCAAACTCCAAACCAATCACCCCTAGAACCCCAGCCCAGCCAGGTCCAAGACCCTAGCCAGGGATCCTGCCCCGGTGTCAGAGCACTGTCCCCTCCGGATCAAGAGGTGGACCGGTCCAAGGGTAGAAGACGGGGCTAGGGACCTAGAAGAGATCTGGGGAACCTATGAAAACAGAAGAGAAGCTGGCAAGAAGAGTGCCCATAGGTGGAACCTCCGGGAAAGGAGGAGTGTAAGGAGAGGGGATCCGGGACCCAGGAGATGACAAGGAGACCAGGGGGAGCCGCGTGGAAACTCCGGGTAGGAGGACAGAGGAGGTATGGGGTGCCTGGAGGGGGCTCGCGCGCCCCGACACCGGCGGGAGGGTGGGGCTGCGGGGACCCAGAGCCTGGCGGAGCCGGCAGGGGCGCCGCACGGAGTGGCCGCGGGAGCCCGGGGGACAGCGTGGCAGGCGCAGCCCGAGCGCTCCGAACGCGTGGGGCCGGCCGGCCTGCGGAGCGCGTCCAAATGGGTTCCCAGACGTGACAGCGCGCGTCCCTGTCTCCCCCCGGCCCACTCACCTCGGCTCGCCGTGCCCGGGAGCGCAGCAGGCAGCCCCTGCCTCGGCCGCCCCGTCCCCCCGCCGCCGCCGCCGCCGCCGCCGCCGCCGCCGCCGCC